ACAGTTACAAGCTACTAGAATCATTAATGTATCTGTAATGTTATGTTGAAATTCCTATGTGAATACAAAAATACAAAATCAATCCTACATAGATCAAACAATAATTACAGCAGTTCTTTATTCAGTGTTCCCAGTGTATTTCTGTCAAATTGTTTTTTTTTTAAATTAACTTAATACCTCTGACTGCACTATATTCAAACTGCAAATGATTTAATTCCTCATAATAATGCTTTTTTGGATAAACTAAAGTGATTTACTGTTTTACAACAGTACTTTATCAAACTCACCAGATTCATCATTTATCATCCAAACAACATTTTTAGTATTATAATCTGGCCAAATTTCAGAAGAAGTAGTTTGTGAAAGTATATAACATGGTGTTTTCTTTTGCCATGAGTAGGACTGAATTTTGGCATGTAGACGTGTTCAGGGCGGGACTCTTATGAAAGTTTTGTGGAGAGTAAACTGAAGTTATAACTAATTCCTGTTTTATGGCACCCTTTGATGAAAATGTTTAATCGTGATTGTCTTTAGAGTAGTCTGAGCAAATTTGAAGTCAATCCAATCAATTCCCTAGAAGGAGTTTGCTAAAAATAGAAGGTGTGCAAATGGCTAAAATGGCAAAAACAGTTAGACATTAAATTCAAAAAGGCCAGCTTCCTGTTCTTTGGGGTATGGTTCCAAGACGCTTTTTTGTAGGTCTGACGAGGCTCTTATCAGACATGTGAAGGTTGGTGGAGATTGGACAAAGTACATTAAAGTTATGGCAACTTCCGGTTTCCTCGAAATTCCACATATTGTTTTACCAGACAAACGTTTTCTTGAAGATGTGTAGATGACGGCACCTCTGCAGCACTACAGTACTTCATGCAAATAGTTCCTTCAGATACAATAGGGTCCTTAGGTGAGGCTATTGTCAGATATTGATGCAAGATAAAATCAACATCATACAATAAGAGAAAGTCTGCATGACTCCGAAAACATTCAAATTTAAAAAAAACATCAACAATTCCATTGTGTATAAACATTTGAAATTACTGGAAATTACATTAGATTTAATACACAGACTCATAAAACCATCTGTAGCTTAACCCATCAAATGGTCAGCACTTGTCCACATTTGTCCTTACCTGGAAGTTGCTCAGTTGCTCAGTATCTTAACAGCTGAAACTAATACTCTGAGAATTGATGGCTGTGTTGTCTTTGTTTGGTGAGTGTTGGTCCGATCAGTGCCCTCTGACTTTAAAGAAATGTATCTCTCGAGCTGAAAATCCAGCTATATTATCATGTGGAGAGGCGGTCAACGGATCTTTCTTTCACAGAATGACACAACACAAAGGTGAAGAGACGGAATATCATTTGAATATCAAATTATTTTGGAGAAGTGCGTGAAAAAATGATGTGATGTTGTGATAATGTTTGGATGGAATGAAAGGAACCAATTGATTGCACATATAAAACCTGTCTCAAAATGTATGTAAATAAGATTTGAATTTGAGACTGCAGCACAGGGGAAAATATATAGTGTGAAAGCCCGTGGAAAGTTTCTGTGTGGAAATCAGCAGAAATAACATTTTATTGACCCGAATATTATTTACTGATAACTGGTCATAATTAGTATGTGTATGTATTGAAGAAAATGTGTATGATTTCTACCAGCTGCTTCTGCTCCTTTGAGATTTATAGCAGGAGTGGGTATAGTTGTTGTTTTCTTATTGATACCTTTCATAATTTCCAAACTATTCCATGTTTTCCAGCAATTTTTCCCCAATTATTCCTTATTCACATTTTTCATTAATTTTCAACTCTTCATTACTTATTAATTCATTTACATAGAAACTCCATTCAAACTTTAAAATGTTCACGACAAGCAGGACTTTCTGACATTAATTCAGCTTTTTTCATATCTTTCATACATTTCACACAATCGCAGTTCAAAATGAATGAAAATTTCAGTCCTTCCAAAACTTTCGCATTAGAGTGTATTGCGCAGAATGTTCAGAGAGAACTATCAGTCACAGTGAACAGAGGCTGTAAAATTGTCTAAAATTCTTGTCTGACAATTGACAGCCACAATTTTCACTCCACATACTGTACATAATCTGTACATCAAGACGTAGGACGATTTGTGCCAGTTCTACACATATAACTCTGGAATTAAATGGACTTAAACTTGTGGCACTCTGAGTTCCTGAACGTCAAGAGTGCCAACCAACTGCCCCATTAGCTCCCATATTAACTGCAGATGTGCCTGTTTTTACAATCGCTGTTATGGTCACATTTTTAAACGTTATCCACCCAAATGACATATGTGTACGTTCAGCAACGCCTTCGGGTGCTCATGGTCACGTCACTTCAACAGTACAGCACTATTTTCGCCACATATGAACATCAGACATCTGGTTTTGGGACTGCTGCTAAAGGGGTTACACTGCTTCTAGAGGTTGGAGATGTTGATTTAAGTTACTATCATGAGTATAAACCGACTATTTGTAGCTGTATTTGGGGCAGCAAGAAATGTTTGTAATTCACATCTGAAGACGCCACCCAAAACTGGTCATTATTTAAAAGATATGTTGTGATTTTGACAATGGACACAAGGTGGAGCTATTGGTGCCGTGATGCAATATGTTGTGCACATGCTTATGGAGAAGCTGTTTATGTTTTACCTCATTAAAGACAACAGAAATGTGTGTACATTGTTACTGTGGGTAGAATTGTATGAAATGTGGCTTTATATAAAACTAAGTTTTATACTATAACACTCAACATTGAAGAGTTAGCATTTGAACGTTTGGTAACCAATTACAGACAAATAATAATTGATAGATTGATTGATTTATTGTGTGCTTGAGTCATGAACATGTTATTCTTTTATATTTATTTCTTTCTTTTTGAAATCATGCAGTGTGTGATGTCATTAAATGTACTGATTACATCACATTTTATTTTATTATAATTTTTTGTGCGACTGCGTGTGCCTTTCAACATAACTTTATATATCTGTCAGAAAAGTAGCAGAGCAATGAGACTGAATGCAACGTATGAGGCAAAGGGAAAGGAAGGTAAAAAATCGATTAAATAAACCAAAACAGACAAAAGATTAAGAATAATATAATTAAAATTAAGTTGCATTGCTAAAAAATAAGTAAAATAACTGCAAAAAAAGCATAAAAGGTAAGTTAAATGTACCAATCACAACACGTCACAAATTCCAGTTACAGACTATTAGGTGATTAAGATGGAGGTTTTCTAGTCAGTTAGAGGCAGCAGAGCTGGTTTCTGACGTCCTCACTCTGTTTCTGAGTCGTTTGCAGAAACACTTTGTTTGGCGTCCTCCTCCGTCATCATGGTGACACTCGTCACGGTTAGTTGAGTTTTCCCTCTTAAGAGACAAACAAGCTCAACGAAAAAGCTCCGTCAGCACGACACCCATCAGGCACTCTTTGTGTTGAGGAGGTAGTTAGGACTTTGGGTTTCTGTGCCGTCAGTGGTGGAACAATACTCAGATCATTTCCTAAAAGTAGTTCCACAGTGTACAAATACGCTCTTACAAGTAAAAGTCCTTTTCCTCGCAAGTTCGGATACAGATTAACATGTTACAAACACAAACTAACTAACCGATGGAGGCAGTAGCAACTCAACTGTCAAATAAAATGACTGTTTTTTGAGAGGAGTCCAGTGGCTTTGAACAGAGCCACATAACAACGTTTCTATTCAGCTGAAAAATCTCTAAACTAAACTTTAAAATGTCAGTTTGAAACAGAAAACAGTCACGTTCGCTTCCACATATTTACTTGTGGGATGGTAGCAAATAGCTTTTTTTGGCCTCCTTTGACAAATACATCACATATATTTGCAGAAAAACAGCATTGTTTAATTTTATTAATTTGAACAAAAATCATTTGAAGAACAGTAATAAAGTTGTGTTTTTATCAATGCGGTCTGGCCCCTCTAGAAACACTCCACCCTGGGTGCTAGCCGGGTTGTTAGCTAGCTAGCTAACTAATAAATCTTTGCCCTTTCTGGGGTGCGAAAAAGTTGATGATGCGATATTAAATTTTTTCTGCTAGATTTTTTTTGTCATCCGGGGAACCAATAGCAAGCGAAGGGATGGATGAGTTGTGGGGTTTGGGCTTGCTGAGCTCAGCAGAAGCAGCAGGAGGCTGATTGGTGATCAATATTTGTCTATGAGAGGTGATCAGATCATGTCGGCCCATTAGCTCTGTTTGTTGTACTAAGTGCTGTGACCACACACACACACACACACTTACACACACACAGCATGGGGCGGGCCAGCTGGAGAGTGGAAGGAGCTATAATGGAGGAGGAGACCTTCTCTTCTGGCCTCACACCAACCAGCTCTCAGCCTGCGTCTGCTATACTGCTTCTCTTCATCGCTGAGGTCACCTCCTCCATCTCCTCATATCCTCCTTCCAAATCTAACAGGTGATGTTTCCCCCTCCTCCTCCCTCATACTCCTTCCTTCCCTTCCTCTTCACTTTCCTTTCTCCTTCTCCTTCCTCCTCTACCTCCACGCTCCTCTCTCCTCCTCCTCCTCCTGTGCGACTCTTACAGGGTGCAGTTGTTGTCTCTTCCTCCTTCCCTTTCCCCACTTTTTTCCCACTCTCCTCTTTCTCTTTTCTCACTCATACAATGGAGTGCCTGTTTCTACTCTCCGTCCTCTAGCTACTCTTTCATATCCTCCTCCAAATCTAGAAGTGATGCCGTTCTCCTCCTCATACCCCCTCTTCTTCTACCTACACTTTCCATCTTCTCCCTCTGATCTTCAGGTGAATTATTCTACTCTTACCTCATCTAATTACTCATCTTCATCTTTCTTCTCCTTGTCGATCTCCTCCTCTTTTCTGCACCTCCACTTCTCCTCCTTCCTCCATCCTTCATCGTCGCACCTCTCCTTCTTCCCCTCCTCTTCCTCCTCCTGTCTTCCCCTCCATCACCTCCACATGAATGTGTCTGTGTGTTCAGTCTCCTCCAGCATGGCGGCTCTGTGGCTCCAGTCTGTCTCTCTGCTGGTCTTACTCATCGTATCATGGCCGGGCTCCCAGGCCGTCGCGCCCGCCCAGCACCTGTGTGGCTCTCACCTGGTCGACGCCCTCTACCTGGTCTGTGGGGACCGAGGCTTCTTCTACAACCCCAAGAGAGACGTCGACCCTCTGCAGGGTGAGACCAACTGACAGTTTTCCTTTGAAGGTTTGAAGACCTCAGAACGCCGTCCAGTGTTCATTATAGCTCCTGATTCTGATGACTTCCTCTCTGTCCCGTCAGGTTTCCTCCCACTGAAGGCAGGTGGCGCTGCAGCGGCAGCGGGCGGCGAGAACGAGGTGGCCGAGTTCGCCTTCAAGGACCAGATGGAGATGATGGTGAAGCGAGGCATCGTTGAGCAGTGCTGCCACCGGCCCTGCAACATCTTCGACCTGCAGAACTACTGCAACTGAACAGCGCTTAGCCTGGCTTTGTTTAGCCTCACCTAGCTTAGCATGGCTTAGCTTCTTGGCTAACGTAGCCTGACCCCCACCCCCCCCGCCTGCATCAGAAGAGCGGCGGTGCTGTCCTCTCTCTGGAAAACCAACTGCTGTCAAATGAAGTGCTGAGAAATGGATGAAATTATTTTTCCTAGAAAATAAAGTTTTGTGAATTGAGAGAATATCAACACACGTGTGTTTATTGATGATTGATGACGATTTATGAATCACATTTAAAGGTGCAGCCATTAAAACCTTATTGATCTTATTACAGCTGTAGTAACTGTAAAACTCAATGTAGTGTCTCATAAACTTTGATGTGTTTTTCCCACATCGTCCACAAGGGGGCAGCAGTCTCATTCTGAATGGGCTCACCTGTATGGAGGTGAGATTATTGTTTCAGTGGAGGTGTAGTAAACATATACGTCTAAACATCCACACTTCTAATAAAGAGCTTACAGCCACTTTAAAGTTTGCAGTGCTGGAGGAAGTGTTCATCTTTTAGTTCAGTAAAAGTACCACCATACCATAATATATTAGATTATTACTACTGATGCAGTCATTTCTAGTTGTTTAAGGAGGAGATGTTTTATAAAATGCTGCAATTCTGATTGTTTTCATTACTGATTCATCTGCATTAATTGATTGATTATTTGATGAGTAAAAACTTTAAACAAATAGTGAGAAATGTCGTCACAGTTACCCAGAGCTCATACTGACACATTCACAATGCGTATTAAAATAAAATAAACTATAATTATTCAAATATTTACAAAGAAAAAGCAGAAAATCTTCACATTTGAGAAGTTGCCAATTAATGTTCTATTAATAGATGAATCATATTGTTTCTCATTATAATGATTTACAGAATCTTTGTTTCCGTCTGGCAGAAATGAGCTTCCATATTTACTTCAGTGAACCTGAATGAAGTGTGTGGAAGTTCCCATTGAACATTTCTGGCTGATTTAGTTCACTCAGACAGTCCTTTAACTTTTCTTTTTGTGCAGCTTCAGTTCTTTTGTTTGAGGGGAAAGTTGATACACCTGCTGCGTGACACCGGCTCTGCCCGGCGGGGCGGGGCGGGGCTGTGCTGGGCGGGGTCAGGTGTATTGTTTACCTGCACACACACACACACACACACACGCTCTCTGCTGTTGGAGAACCTGGTTTCAGGGTGAATGACACCGAGCTGGTCTCTGTGTGCCGGGCTACAGGGCGGTCCGGGTGTAGACATCTGGTGGATTCAGTTTGTTGAACATAGACACTCTGAGCTCGTTGTTTCTGTGGATTATTTCCTCAACGGAGCAGCACGATGCGAGATGTCCAGCTCAATAATGAGACCTGCAGGAACGGTAAGAACGAGCTCTCTCATTCTAAGAGCAATCAGAATAATGATCATTAGAATAAGAAGTGTACAGCAGTACGGTGGAAGACTGCAGAGCCACAAATATCTCTATCCATCCAATCTGTCTGTATGTCACTCATGTTTCCTTGTCGAGCAGGAAACAGAAATAAAAGCCATTACAGTTCATTAAATACTGCAGCATTGTTGAGGTGTTTGTACTCTACCAGAGATTTAGAGTTTACAGCTCAGAGGAAAATGCTTTTATTCCATTATTCTGACAGGTGCGGATCTGGAGAAATATTCATGGGCTGTTCAGATGGTGGCAGAAATATCTGCTCATTTAATCACATTGATCAGGATTTGCTTGGAAAAGACCCAAAATGAAGATATCTCAACCCAAAAACATTATTGTGGCACATTTCTGTTTTTTAAAATAATATATCTGAATCAGTGGTCCCCAACCTGTGGGTCGGGGCCCCGCTGAGGGTCACCAAAGCCTCATTGGGGGTGTAAAACAAAATATACACAGTAGACCTGTTTCTCAGCATTTCATTAACTTCTGTGAAGAGATCAATAAAGGGACATCTAATCTTAAAGTAACTATATAGTAACAAATATTGAACTGTTTCAGTTTACAGAATCAGATTAGTAACAGAATATGATCAATAAATAAAATATGAGATGCTGTTATAGGTTAAAACAGTGGTTTTAAATGTTTTGAAAACAGAACTTTTACTTGTTTTTGTGCTTTTCAGGGGTTCAAATAATCATTTAATGAAAGATTCATCCGACAGTTGTTTCCTTGATTAATCGATTCATTATTTAGTCCATAAAATATCCAGGTTGACTTATTCAGATGTCCAACCACAAAGACACATAGAAAAAAAACAGCAAACATTCACATTTGAGAAGCTGGAGCGTGAGTTTGTGCTGACAACTATTTATTATATTTAAGGTTCAGTATGAATTACACTTAGTTAGGATATCATCATCTTCGTCTCATCACAGTTGAACATCACTCTGCTTAGAAATCATGGAAGAAAGACGTTCCTTGTGACTGCAGAACTTGCTTGAGAACCATCACATTTTCTTCTAAATTCTGATTTTATTACTCTTTTTTAATGTCTATGTACTCACATCTTTAGCATGTAAATATTCAGCTGAAACTCTGTAGAAATTATGAGGAAATCAGTCAGTAATTAAGGAATTGAGGAAGGAAAATTGAGAATTTTTCTACAAACTTAAAAGTTTTTGCGTCCCAGTAATATCTAAGATATTGAAGCTCCTTTGTGGATCTGAAGATCTGCTCATTAAGGGCACAGACTGCAGCAGTCAGTGTGATTGTAGCCGCTGTATGCCGACGACTCGCTGTTGACAGTGTCAATATTGAAGCTCTCTGCCTGGTTGTGTTGACCGTCTCCTCTCCTCATGTTACTGTAATCAGCAGCACAGTGGTCCAACCAGTATTACTCAACCCTTCACACAGACACATAGAGAGCAAACAGCCAGAAACCTTCGCTCACTGTTCAACTTCAAACTCTGAAATCATTTATAATTCCTGCACAAAGAGACACACTGTAACAAATAAACTGTAATAAACTTATTACGGTAAAAGGATATTAGT